CGAAGAGAACATATTGTTGTGAAAAACTGCTTGTGATCGGTTGCTCAAGTATGAATTAATAAGACGGCATGCAGAGGCAGAGAAGTTAAAAAATTTTTGGAGTTTCAGTAATAGAATGTTATGGTTTACGGTGTCAAATGCCTTGCTGTGATCTAGAAGTACGAGGAAGGAATCTTGCATATTGTCTTGATTACATCTTAGATCTTCAGTGACGTCCAAGAGGGCAGTAACACAGCTTCTGTTCTTCCTAAATCCAGACTGATGTTCAGTAAGCATGTTATTTTTAGTGAGATATTCATTGATTTGCTTGTACATCAAGGTTTCCAATACTTTAGATATTAAAGGCAATATTGCTATAGGACGATATTCATGGTTAGCTTTGGGAATTGGAATAATTTTCGCTTGTTTCCATGCACCAGGGAAGGTAGATTTAACAAGAATGGTATTTAATATATATATTATGTAGGGTAGAATTTTTGGTAAGATTAATCTTAGTAGCTTCGGATTGATACCATCCATACCCTCAGCATTCGATTTAATTTCCTTGAATGTTGAAATAACTTCAGTGTGTTCGACACATCTGAAGGAAAATTCATTTTCATTATGAACAATATTCAAGCGTGAGTAAAAATTCTCGGAATTGACGGCCAAGTTTGGACCAACGAATTTTAGATTTAACTCTTCAACATCGATATCATTATTTGAATGGGATCTATATTTGTTTCCAATGCCGATTTCTCGTATTTTCTTCCATTTACATTTGCTGCTTAATGCTGTTGAAAATTTGCATTTGTAGTAAGTAGATTTAGCCTTTTGTATACATCTTGTTACTTCACGTCTCAAAGATTTGAATTGTTCATAGAGCTCTGGTGTTTTGTATTTTTTCCATCGTTTGTAGCTATAATCTCTTTTATATATAATATCTTTGATATGATTATTAAACCATGGTTTCTCTTCATTCTTCGGTGAAAATGTTTTTAAGGGCACACATTCATCCAAAATAAGATAACATTTTTCTTGGAGAAACATTACTTGGTCATTTGCATTTGTCATGGTATAAATTTCATCCCAATAAATATTGAATAAGAGGTAATTTAAAAGGTTATAATTTGTTTTGCTAAAATTGCGATATGAAATGGTTTCATTTGTGATGATGACATCAATATCATAAACCATATAAAGAAGGTCGTGTTTAGAAAACACTGGAGCTGATAGCTGATCATACAGTAGTATTTTTGATAGTTGGTTAGAAAAAATAATGTCGATTAGGCTATTCGAACTAGTATGAAAATGAGTAGGATTTGTGGTGTTAACTGGATATAAGTCGATCATTTGAAACTCATCGGCTAACATATTTTCGAGCAGAATATTGCTGTTAAAATCGCCGCAAATAATAATATCATTGTATGTCACTGAAATATTTTGTAAGTCTGAAAGCAGTTCAGTAACTTCTGAATGTTTATTCGGTCTGTAAACGCAGCCAATAAGACATTTTTGAGACATTTTTAGATTTAACTCCATGATGATATATTCATTCGGGCTCGAACTTTTAGATTTCGATATAACTTTACATTTAATGCTATTTTTAATGTATATGCACACGCCCCCGGCAAAAGATACGCGATCCGCACGGAACAATGTATAGCCAGGTATATTATAGATGCTGTCTTGTACTTCGCAATGAAACCATGTTTCAGAGATACAAATGACGTCAACTCCCGAGGAAACGAAGAGTTGTTGAAATTCATCTAGTTTATTATTAAGACTTTGAGCGTTAATATGTACCAACTTCAGTCCATTTCGTTGTTTGGTGAGAACCCTTATCATGTTGAAGAGTACGTCTTTGGAATTATATCTAGTATCACAGATCATATATCACAGTTAAATAAGCAACAAGCACCTGCACAACTAGTTTTAATTTCAGTGATTTCATTTCTTTAAACAATATTGATATTAATAATAGATAATTAACTTTTTTCCAAGTTTAATAAAATGTAAAAATATGATAAGATTAATTTAAAATTAATTTTTAAAAATAACTGTCTGTTTAGATTTATTGATTTATACGTATATGATTGGTAACGCATAAACATTGTTGTTGGCAACAGTGTAAGTTGACATAGCTGTTGGCAACAATAAGAATGACATTTAGTTAACACCTTCTCCATTGCACCTTAAAAAAATATTTTTAATAAATCCACGTCTATTGAAGTACCATTAAAAATAATTTTTTTTTTAAATCCACGCCTATTGAAGTACCTCCAAAAAATTATTTTTTTAAAAATCCACGCCTCTTAGAGTACCTCCAAAAATATTTTTCCTTGGATACCAATGCATTATGTATCTACGTATGTGAGTTACATAAAATGCTAAAATTTCACACATACTTATTTATTCCCATGACAACTGAAAAAGCAAGTAGGCATTTCGATGCGTACAATTTTAAAGATTATTTGAATTCAGCAACGTCAGCAATAAAAATAAAATGTCGAAATTCGTAACATTTTTAATAAATTCTTTCTGTAGACATATTTTCCCAGAAGATGAGTTTATAGCCAATGTGGGAAATGTGTGTCAAATTTTCAGACATATTTTAATGTCAGAATTTGACTGGAAATTTTGGGAATTTTTTTTCTTTGGCATATGATTATGTTGAATATACACAGTATTTTAATTCACAACATTTAAAATTTTCTCAAAATCGCCCTAAATTCATTCACTAAATTTATGGTTTAAGGAAAGCATCCCTTTTCCTTTACCCATTAGAAAATTTTGTCCTTCATACATATGCCCATAGAATAATTAAAACATTAACACCACTCATTTGAACTCCTACATTCTCACGAACACACACACACGCACACTTCTGACAGTAAACGGTCCATAAAAATTATGGAATTACCAAATAAACAAAATTATCATAATAATTTGTTGATTTAATTATGATAATAGCCACCGAAAAAAAACACAACACACAAATATAATTAATTAAAATGAATGGCTTTCTTGGAACGATATAAGAAAATCTGTGATAATAAAATTAATGAGAAGAAGCAATGGACCCATACCAAAAATATTTTTTCAGAACCTATACAAGGCGTGGATTTATAAAAGAAGACTTTTTCAAGGGTCTCAACAAGGCGTGGATTTATTAAAGAATATTTTTTCAAGGGTCTCAACAAGGCGTGGATTTATTAAAGAAGACTTTTTCAATGCCTAACCAAGGCGTGGAATTATTAAAAAGACTTTTTCAAGGCCTAATCAAGGCGTGGATTTATTAAAGAAGACCTTTTTCAAGGACCTATACAAGGCGTGGATTTATTAAAGAAGACTTTTTCAAGGTCTTACCAAGGCGTGGATTTATTAAAGAAAACCTTTTTCAAGGACCTATACAAGGCGTGGATTTATTAAAGAAGACCTTTTTCAAGGACCTATACAAGGCGTGGATTTATTAAAGAAGACTTTTTCAAGGTCTTACCAAGGCGTGGATTTATTAAAGAAGACCTTTTTCAAGGACCTATACAAGGCGTGGATTTATTAAAGAAGACCTTTTTCAAGGACCTATACAAGGCGTGGATTTATTAAAGAAGACCTTTTTCAAGGACCTATACAAGGCGTGGATTTATTAAAGAAGACCTTTTTCAAGGACCTATACAAGGCGTGGATTTATTAAAGAAGACCTTTTTCAAGGACCTATACAAGGCGTGGATTTATTAAAGAAGACCTTTTTCAAGGACCTATACAAGGCGTGGATTTATTAAAGAAGACCTTTTTCAAGGACCTATACAAGGCGTGGATTTATTAAAGAAGACTTTTTCAAGGCCTAACCAAGGCGTGGTTATAGCCTTGTACAGTCCCAAGAGTTTGTAACACCGCCAAATATTGGCCCTAGACCCAACTTTAAGTATCCCGATCGTCATATCTTGACTAGCTGAGTCTATATAAGATCGACTCAGCTAGTCGAAAAAAAATCATTGTCGAAGTTATATGCAATTTTTTACAGGTGCCTACGTATTCAGATATTATTTAGTAGTCCATAAGCACACTAGAGGGCGAAAATATAGCGCTGATCGCTTCGAAATTTTTCATGGTTAATGACAACGCCTATAATTTTCGGTGATGATAAGATAATAACTTTGCGATGAAGTGGACCGAAAACCCTACACAACTATGTTGTCAGGGTATTATAGCTGTGTGCAGCCCCAAGAGTTTGTAACGCCGCGAGATATTGGTCCTAGACCCACCTTTAAGCATACCGATCATCATATCTCGACTAGCTGAGTCGTTCTAGACATGTATATCCGTCCGTCTGTCCATTATAATTTGTAAACACGATACAGGCCACAGTTATGGACCAAACTTCACGAAAGTTTGCATGTAGGATTGTTTCTGGCCAATGGAGACCTCTATCATTTTTAGTAAAGATCGGTTAATATTTAGGGGATGAAATGGACCAAATACATAATTTTTGTCGTTTTTTCTGGTCGCTCCAGAGGCCGCAAGTTTGGTCCGAACATAGCGAAATTTTACAAGAAGAAGGGGATCGGGCCAAATAATAAGCATGCCTGTTTTCATAAAGATCGGTCAATATTTAGTGGGTCAAATGGACCCTGACTTTTGTGTGAGAAATGACAAAATTTGTATTCTATAGCGTATATATTTACCCCTGAAGGACATAGACCCGAGAAGTTTATATTATATCCAAGAGGAGTGGTTGACCTTCAAATTAATACCAATTACATTGTCGTATGTACTCAGATGTGGGAGTTACACGTAAATATTTACAGGTGCTTACGCATTTAAATATTATTTAGTAACCCATTACCACCCTAGAAGGCGAAAATATAGCTCTGATCGCTTTGAAATTTTCCATGAGGGTCCAGGTATGCTCAAGGACAACGCCTGTAATTTTCGGTCCTGATCAGATAATAATATTGGGATAAAGTGGACCGAAAACTTATTTTTTTTTTTTTTGGTTTTTTCGAGCCGATCTATAGACCACAATTGAAATCCGAACATAACAACACAACCCACGATGGAGGTCAAGAGAATGCACATATTACCCAAGATCAGAATATAGAACCAGACAAAGTTAGATTTTCGTGGAAGTTGTAGGGTATCATATGGTCGGCCCCGTCCGAATATACTGCTCCGCTTACTGTTTATTTATTTATTTATTTTTTTTTTGATTAAAAACATGTTTCCGTCGAATATGGGCAACCCTGTAGGTAATTAGTATTCAATATCATCTCAACTTGAATACAGAACATTTTCAGAATAGATTTCAGAAGATGAAGGCCTGGAATATTTGCCTAATTTTTATTGTTGTTGTTTTTGCTGCTATAACAAAGGTAAGGATTTGATTTAAAAAAAATGATAAATTGATTTCCAAAATATTTGTTTTTTTTTCGGTTGCAGATCAACGATGCTAAGCCCATGAAATCCTTTGAAGTGATCAAGTGAGCCGCAAACCGGACGTTTTAAGCTCCTCGAATATTCGTATGAAAGTTTGATGCAGGCAATTTGGACTGAAGAAATTTTCAACAGGTTAAATGAATATTTACATGCCACCAACAAGTTCATCGCAGAAGGTGAATATTTGCAGCGAAACTATGTGGAACTTAATAAGGCAATTGGAAATTCTAGAACCAAGCTGAATGGATTCAAAACCGATACGGGATATTGCCAAGATTATATAAGTCTAATCGATACAATTTATCAAATACATTCCGAATTATTACTGGTAGCTGGTGATAGAATGGGGATAAGGCAAGTATTGATATTAAAATCACAAATAAAAGATGGGTTGCGCAGCAGGATGAAAGAGGGCCTCGAGAAATTTGAAGAACAACTTAAAGGATTTATTCAGAATTTAAATGAAGCCGAAAAACAAGAGCATGCATATATTGCATTGAATTCTATGACAAGTTTTCAAAGGAAGCAAATTTTTATCGTAAGCAGGAATTGATTACGGATTTTCCGAGAGAGAAGAGAGTTCGATTAAAAATAAATGTAAAATTCGTTAAATGAATTTTGAAGTAAATTGATTAGAT